TAGTGTTCTTAGGATATAGTCCCAGCAGTGGAATTGCTGGGTCAAAAGGCAGATTCATTTTTAGTTTTCTGAGGAAGTTCCATACTGCTTTCCATAGTGGTTGTACCAGTCTGCAGTCCCACCAACAGTGCACTAGGGTCCCCTTTTCTCCACAACCTCTCCAACACTTGTTGTTTGTTGCTTTGTTTATGATGGCCATTCTGACTGGTGTGAAGTGGTATCTCATTGTAGTTTTAATTTGCCTCTCTCTGATAGCTAGCGATATTGAACATTGTTTCATGTGTCTTTGGATCTTCTGTATGTCCTCCTTGGAGAAGTGTCTGTTCAAGTCCTTTCCCCATTTTTAAATTGGGTTGCTTGTCTTCTTAGAGTGGAGTCATGTAAGTTCTTTATATATTTTGGAGATGAAACCCTTGTCTGAGGTATCATTGGCAAATATGTTTTCCCATACAGTCCATTCTCTTTTTATTTTGATACTGTTTTCTTTAGCTGTGCAAAAGCTTTTAATTTTGATGAGATCCCATTTGTTTATTCTTTCCTTTATGTCCCTTGCTCTAGGGGACATGTCAGTAAAAAAGTTTCTGCATGAAATATCTGAGATTTTCCTGCCTACGTTCTCTTCTAGGACTTTAATGCTATCATGACTTATATTTAAGTGTTTTATCCACCTTGAATTTATTTTTGTATAAGGTGTAAGTTGGTACTCGAGTTTCATTTTTTTTGCACATAGCTGTCCAGTTCTCCCAACACCATTTGTTGAAGAGGCTATTTTTATTCCATTTTATGTTGCTGCTTCCTTTGTCAAATATTAATTGACTGTAGAGACTTGGGTTTATTTCTGGGCCCTCTGTTCTGTTCCATTGGTCCATGTGCCTGTTTTTATGCCAGTACCAGGCTGTTTTGATTACAGTGTCCTTGTAGTATAGTTTAGTGTCAGGTATTGTGATCCATCCTACTTCACTCATCTTTCTCAAAATTGCAGGAGCTATTCGGGGTTGTTCATGGTTCCATATAAATGTTTGAAGTGTTTGTTCTATGTCTGTGAAATAAGCCATTGGTACTTTAATAGGTATTGCATTGAATGTGTAAATTGCTTTGGATAGTTTGGACATTTTGATGATATTAATTCTTCCACTGCATGAACACTGTATATGTTTCCATTTGTTTGTGTCTTCCTTGATTTCTTTCCTCAGTGTTATGTAGTTTTCTGCATACAGATCTTTTACCTCTTTGGTTAGGTTTATTCATAGGTATTTTATTTTTCTTTTTGCTATTTCAAATGGGATTTTTTTCTTGATTTGTGGTTCTGCTGTTTCATTGTTGGTGTACAGAAATGCCTTTGATTTCTGGATATTGACTTTGTATCCTGCTGTTTTGCCAAATTCATTTATTAGGTCAAGCAGTTTTTTGGTGGAGTCTATAGGATTTTCTATGTAGACTACTATCATGTCATCTGCAAACAGTGACAGTTTTGTTTCCTGTTTTCTGATTTGGATGCCTTTTATTTCTTTTTCTTGTCTGATTGCTGTGACTAAAACTTCCAGTACTATATTGAATAGAAGTGGTGAAAGTGGGTTGTCCCTTTTCTTTTGCTGCTTTTAAAATTTTCTCCTTATCTTTAATCTTGGGTAATGTAATTATGATGTGCCTTGGTGTGTGCCTCCTTAGGTCCAATTTCTTTGTGTCTCTCTGGGCCTCCTGGACTTCATGGAAGTCTGTTTCCTTTGCCAAATTAGGAAAGTCCTTCATTATTTGTTCAAATAAGTTTTCAATATCTGGCTCTTCCTCTTCTCCTTTTGGCACTTTCACAATTTGGATGTTAGAATGATTAAAGCTGTCCCAGCTGTCCTAAGCCTCTCCTCATTTTTTTGAGATCTTATTTCTTCATTCTGTTCTGGTTAGATGTTTATTTCCTCCTTCTGTTCCAAATTGTTGATATGAGTTCCAATTTCCTTCCCTAGAGAACTATATATTATTATAGAGGTAACAACTGCAGGAAACAACTATTACCCCTAGGGTTGGGGAAACAAAGGTAAGAAGTTAGAATTATTAAAATATGGTAATTTAGAGAAAGGGTCCTATGAAACTGGATCCCCTTCTTTGGAGAAAGTGCATCATGGCTGCTGCTTGTTTCTCTGAACTCAGGTACTGAAAAAATAATGAATTTTTAATGAAAAACTAATGAATTACAGCATTTCTCTTCAAGTGTTATTATCCTTTCTAGGGAGGAAGAACTATATGTAACAGGCTGAAATTGCATTTTCTGTCATGAATATGGACTCCACTTAAGCAAGAATTCTGGTCAATGCTATGTCTCCAATGCCTGGCATTCTGGGCACTCAAAATATTTATTAAATTAACAAGCACAAATCATTCAGAGACCCATTCAGGAGTCAATTATACACCTGACATAACTATTCGTCCAAGACCTTACTGATTGACTGATTATCATAGATTTCTTTCACTGGTGGCCATTAGTATTCAGGCTTGGTCCTAGATGCAGTTGAAGTCAGAAGTCATTATTTAATTATATTTGTCATTCCTCCAATATCTTTTTCACCTTCCTGATAAGCTATCTGAAATCCCTTATGGCAGAGTCATTGATTTAATAGCTCCCCTTTTCTCCTAAAATACTGTTCACATGAAAGAAAGTTGTGATATGTAGAATAATGGTTCCCAAAATGTCCATGTCTTAACACCTGGACCTGTGAATGTATTTTGAGATGAGAAAATTATCCTGGGTTATCTGGGTTACCTCATTGTAGTCACAAGGGTCCTTATAAGAGGAGGGCAGGATAGTCAGAGTCAGAGAGGATATTGGAGTGATGTATTCCAATGCAAGCAGAAGTTAAAGTGATATAATTTGAAGGGGGAGAAAACTTATAAGCCAAAGAATGCAGACAACCTTGGAAAAGGCAAGAAAATGGACTCTCTCCTAGACCCTCCATAAGGAATGCAGCTTTGCCAACATCTTGATTTTAGCTTAGAAAACCTATTTTGTCCTTTTTATCTCCAGAACTGTGCAATAATACATTTATGTGTTTATTTTATTTTATTTTATTATTTTATTTTTTATTTTCATTTGTGAGTTTTAAAGCCATGGTTGCTGGTAATTTGTGACAGCAAAAATAGGAAATGAAAACAAAAGCTATTTAATAAAAAGAACTTTCAGTGGGAGTCAGGGGTTCTTGATCCTAGTATGACCTCTCCCACCAGTTACCTTTGTGATAATGAGCAGGTCACTTCCTGTATCTCTTTTTATATTAATTATTTCACTGATAAAACATGTGCATTGTACTTGATCAGGAACACCCCGTTGAACAGTGGGCCTCTGATAGTTTTCTCTAGTAGTTTTTTATCCCTAAAAATTGTAGTTTTCTCCTTACTTGTCCATATTGGGACCTGTACAATTTCCTCTAGTTTTTTTTAAAATAATTGTTGACACTGTTACAGATGTCCCCCATTTTCCCTCACTTTGCCCCCTCCACCCAGCCACCCCCACCATCAGCCTTCACCACATTGTTATATACATGCATGTATGTTCTCTGGCTTATCTCTCCCAGTCCCTCTACCCACTCCCCCCTTCTCTGAGATCTGTCAGTCTGTCCTATATATCCATGCCTCTGGTTTTATTTTGCTCATCAGTTTATTTGGTTCATTAGATTTCACATATGAGTGAGATCATACAATATTTGTTCTTTAGTTCTTTTTCTGGACTTCATACCTTGATCATCATCCTTTATCACTTACAGACACAGACACAGACACTGTCTGGCTCTTTTCACCCAGTTTTTATTTCTGTTACTCTTTTATCCATTCCAAATGTGTTTTGAAAGAGAAAAGAGACAACTTTCATGTGGCAGGATTCTTATCTTTATACACAGTAGAGGAGATTGTTTCAGTTTATCACATATTTTATATGAGAAATTGAGGGTTTTTTGGAAAGTGAGTATCATTTATAAAATAAATGATTTTATTCACTTTGAAACATATCAAAGACCCCTTTTAAAATTACTAATTGGCACCTTATATTTCTTTGGATGACAGAATTTTCTTGTGCAAATATTACTTTGTGTAGTTAAATAAATAACTGCAGGAAGAAGGCTTGGGATCCTGTGATAACTCCTGTTTGATAACACAAAATATACCATTAATATGAACCTTACTGAATTATAATTTACTTGCTTGACTCAGGGTTATTCTTCAGTCCCATTAATTTATTCATTCAATAAGTAAGAAGCATTCATTGAATGATTATGCCACTATTGGTGATTCTGATGGAGGTGAGGATTACTCATAAAAGCCAGATATAATTCCTGTTTTCAAGAAACTACATTTTAACTGGAGAGATGGAAATTTATATAATTGTGAGAAGCAAAATGAAATAAATGCAAACAGCTCAGAGAGAGTATAGAAATGGGCAGATTTGGGAATTTTTGCAGATGAGAAAACATTTCTGCTGGGACATTGAGAATTGGATTTTGTGATTTGGAGAATAGAGTGAGAGAAATTTTGAAAGTTCAAAGAAATAAAACTTTCAAAGGTGAATTGAACAATATGAGTAACAACAGAGAGACTTTGGGAAGCTATATGCTGTGCATTAGAAATTGTTAGGTGGCCATACAAATGGCCGCACTAATATCAATTCATAATAAATCATAGTCAAAACTACTTGAAGATAAACATATGTTACTGAAGTAGAACACACTGGATAGGAGAATATAAAAAATACCTATGTAATACTGGAATAAAGAAGAGAGGAAATAGGTCCAGAGATGGAATTAAGTTAGTTTTGAAAACCATAATGTCTTTTGGCAACCAGCTGGCTCGTCTAAGTAGAGGTCCAATGTGCATGTAATGGAGATGATTTGGCTGTGTGAGATGTTAATATTAAGATTGTTTTCATGGACTGACGACTTTTTTTCTTGAACGCTAATACTTGCTTATGCATTTTGTTTTTCATTTTCTTCCTTCAGGTAACCTAAAAACCGACCCTGGTTTCTGAGAAATTGGATGGAATGAATCACTCCACAGTAACAGAGTTTGTGTTTTTGGGACTCACTAATTCATGGGGGATTCAGCTCCTCCTTTTTGTCTTTTCCTTTTTGTTCTACTTGGCAAGCATGATGGGAAACCTTGTCATTATGTTCACTGTAACCTTGGATGCTCATCTGCACTCCCCCATGTATTTCCTCCTGGCTAACCTGTCAGTTATTGATATGATTTTTTGCTCAATCACAGCCCCTAAAATGATTTGTGACATTTTTAAGAAGCACAAAGCCATCTCCTTTTGTGGATGTATTACTCAGATCTTCTTCAGTCATGCTGCTGGGGGCACTGAGATGGTACTGCTCATTGCCATGGCCTTTGACAGATATGTGGCCATATGCAAACCTCTCCACTACCTGATTATCATGAGTCCAAGAATGTGCCTATACTTTTTAGTCAGTTCCTGGATTGTCGGTTTTATCCACTCATTGCTTCAATTAGTTTTTGTGGTAAACTTGCCCTTTTGTGGCCCTAATGTATTGGACAGTTTTTACTGTGACCTTCCCCGTCTCCTCAGACTCGCCTGCACAAATACCCAAGTCCTGGAGTTCATGGTTAGTGTTAATAGTGGGCTTATTTCTGTGGGATCTTTTGTCTTACTAGTCATTTCCTACATTTTTATTCTATTCACTGTTTGGAAACACTCTTCACAAGGTTCATTCAAGGCCCTCTCCACTTTATCATCTCATATCACTGTGGTAGTTTTGTTCTTCGGGCCGCTGATGTTTTTCTACACATGGCCTTCTCCCTCATCACACCTGGATAAATATCTTGGTATTTTTGATGCATTTATCACTCCTTTTCTGAATCCAGTCATCTATACATTCAGAAACAAAGAGATGAAAGTGGCAATGATGAGATTGTGCAGTCATCTTGTTCATTACAGGAAGATTTTGTAAATAGGTTGGCTTTGATGACATGAAACTATAGGTTCTCGCTCATGCTGGTCACAGAGAAAACATTATGCAATTTCAGAGAAACAGTCAAGACTTAGGTGATGTTATATGCCTAGAGATCTAGTATCTATTAAATTGTGGTATCTGTTTCAATGTTAAATCAGAAATGATGTTATTCTTTGACACTGTATATCAAAGTGTTAAAGACAAAATCATATGTGTTTTCTAACTTACATGGTCTAAGAGCACATAATATTTTATCTTTTCCTATTTTGGACAGATTATTCTATGGATACCTGGAGTATGAATACATATAATTTTAATTTATTTACTACCTACATATTTTGATTTAAATATTTTCCTACTCTGTTTGTTTCTTATTTCCCCAGTATCAACATATTTTGCCTCCTTACCAGGCTTTTCTCTCTCTGTCAGTATAGGGAATTGTTAATTTTATGTTAGAATTTTGAATTTAAAGCTACAATGGGTATTGTTCTAATCCTCTTAGTTGTCCATGCTAAAACCCAGAACTGAGGGGTGGGTGACTGGAATTTGTCCAAAGGCAAACAGCCAGAAATCACCAGAGATAGCCATGCACCAGAAACTGTCTCTGGTTGTTCCTTGGTCAGTGCCCTTGCATTTTCAAATCAATTTTGTACTTGAATTTCTGCTCATACTTCACTCTTCTAACTTTTTCCTATAATCCTGTTTGAGGAGAGATCTTTACACTGCCCACTTGTATTCCTTCTTTTTAGTAAATTTTCATTAGCGTTTAGCACTTATCAATTCTAAATCATTTCTTAATTTCTACTGCTACCATACATTTTCTTGTTCAGGACCTACCAAAGCTGAATTTTAAACCATTGTGTTAATTATGAAGAAAATGTTTAAAATTCACTATTAAGAGTGTTTTTTTGGTCTACAGTGGTGTTCAGAGAGATCTTTGATTAAATTCTATTTTTTATGCCTGATGTTTCTCTCAAATACAATTAATGATGTTCTTTTTTTTGGTGGAAAACAATGTGATTGATGAATTATATATTCTGCTTAAGTAAGTCACACTAAAATCATTGTGCTTCTCCCAGAAAAATAAATTTAAAATATTTTAACAAATAAGAAATAAAATATTTATAAAATATGCGTGTGGGTTTCCTTTTTACATAAATTGTGCAGTCTAAGTCAAGGCATTGTTTCAGTATTTTACCTTGAATTTTATGACACATATATCCTAATTATCCCCATTTTATAGAGGAAGGATCTGAGGCACAAAGATGTTAAATGTTCTCAAGGTCACAATTGTCCAAAACTGAATCAGAAAAAATTAGAGAATCTGAATAGACAGATTCTCAATTTCATAGCTAATGAAATTGAAGCAGTAACTAAAAAACTCCCAACAAACAAAAGTCCTGGACTAATGTTTTCACAGGTAAATTTTATGAAACATTCGAAGAAGAACTAACAACTATTCTCAAACTATTCCAACAAATTCAAGAGGAGACAGGACTCCCAAGATCATTTGTATACCTGAAACCTATATGATTGTCAGTTCCTCAATAAATTCAATAAAAATATCCTCAAGGTCTATTAAATAAAAAGCCTGGACATAAAGTCTTACAGTATGAACCCAGAATCTGTTATCTTAAAATCTGTACTCTAATGAGACTGGTAATAATAGAATAACTCATTTAATTGGAAACAATTCCTATTTGAAGGCCTTCCCCACAAATGGGGACCCCATCATCCCCAAATGGAGGAGAAAATCCATCCTGGTTTATGAATAGTCATGCATGTTATGTTGATAGCAGCTGTAAGCAAATGACCAAGACATTAAACTCTCCTCAGAGATTGCCTTGAAGAATAGTGATGAAGGAAAATCCTTCTAATGGAAAGAACCTCAGGCAATACCTATAGTTATGAACTTTCTTTGGAAGGAAAGATGGCTTGTGGCACATAAATTACTAATTTGTGGGCAGGCCTAATGGTTTGTTTAGTTGTTCAGGGCCTAAGAAAGAATGAAGTCATAAAATATTGGAGTTCTGGAGTGATATGTAACTGGGTTTCTCAGGAATGCACAGAGAAAGACAGTATTCATGGTCATCTAGAAGCCTATTAAAGGTTATTCACTCAGGAACAAAAATACCTGACCTTGTGGATGTCAGTCAGTCTCTTTCTCCAGCTGCTTAATTGGCACTGAAAGTGGCCATAGCAGAATAGTTGATGTCTGCATAAAATCAACAACATGAATTTCCCCTCACTAAGGCTGATGTGCCTATCATCACTCCTAAGTGCCCAAGCTTTACAACACCAAAGTAAATGGACAGAACCCTGTATAGTACCATATCTTACCTTATTCTGAGAGGACTAGCTGTCTACCTTGTGGTAGGTTAAATAGAATCAAATCCTTCTTTTATGAAATGGGGAGATGCTTATGTTCATAAGGATATTTATCTCTCTATAACTTTATCTTTAATCTCACTCCATAGGGATACATATTATATATAAACACACCTTACAAATCTTTATTTTTATATAAATATATAAAAATGCTTATTGTAAATATATAATATACAAATTATAGGTAAATATATAAAATATCTTATTATACATATAGTAATATACTGTGTTTATAATATATATGTTATAATACATAATATGTTTATATAATATACAATTTATATACTATTTATTTATTTATTTTTAGGTAATGTTTTGTCTTTCCCACCATAGAGCTGCTGCTAGCACTACCATTTATGGACTCGTAGAGTACCTCTGTTGCTATGATTTCACATACAACATTGTGCCCGGACATATTTTTATGGAAAGTAAAGTGTGACCACAGGCGTGCATCTGTGGCATTCATTGAACTTACTTGTGCTCCAACACACAGAAACAACTGGCTTGATAGAATAGTGAAATGGCCTAGAGCAGGGGTGTCAAACTCATTTTTACCAGGGGCCACATCAGCTTTGCAGTGGCCTTCAAAGGGCCAAAATAATTTTAGGACTGTATAAATGTAACTACTCCTTAGCTAGGAACAAGGAGCAAGGTGGTGCCACCAGGTAGAAACAAGGTGTCAAGCAGGATAAAACAAGGTGCAGGGCCAGATAAAACAAGGTGGAGGGCGGGGTTCACCCGTGGGCCTTGTGTTTGCCACCAGTGGCTTAGAGAATGCTCAGCTTTTGTGCCAAGTGGGAGATGAACACCTTGCAAGATTAGCATACTATTTGATGCTCTACATATTTTAAACCAGTGGTATACACACACACACACACACACACACACACACACACACACACATATATTGCTATTTGTCTTAAAGCTGGAATAGATCAAGCCAAGGTAGAAAAAGTCACTCTAACAATAAAATCAAGTAATTTACTGGGAAATTTATGCTTTCTATTACTTTTGTGAACTTTGGTTTAGTAGGTTTGGAGGTTCTAGTACCCCAGGGAAGAATGTTTCCAAAAGGAACACAACCAAATCTAGTCTTTGACCACTTTGGGGTCCTTACATTACTGAATTAGCAGAAGGAAAAGGACCTGACTCTGACATTTGTGGGAATGGAAGCAAAAAATATAAGTCCAGTAGCTTTATGTTGAAATATTTTAAAGTTATAAATCAAGGTAACAAACTTAAGTATGGCATGCCCTATCCTCCTATGTTGATAAATAAATATATATATATAATAATTATATATACATATCTATAAAAAACCCTGGAAAGTCAGGTTTGTGGACTTGAGGAAGTCCTCAGAGAAATTTGAAAGAAAATCCTGGGTTTTGGGGACCGGAACCTGGTCTAAAAAAATGGATATATGCTTCAGGTGGACATGTCTCTTCGGTTTTTTGAAATCTTCACGCTGTGGTGAAAAGCATGACTGGGAAGGAGCCAATTTAGAGTCTTCTATAGAATAAAAACCAGGATGAAGATTCTTTTATTTGGGTGTAAGAAAAGTATTCATTGTTGGGTTGACAGATCCCAATAACCAGAGGGAAATTGGATTTCTATTCCACAATGGGGACCAGTCAGAACTCAGGGTCTTTTTTGGAATGCTTCTCAGTACTCCTTTGCCCAATAGTTCTTGTCAATAGGAAATAGTGGCATCCCTTTAAACAAAGGATCATCTGAAGACTAATAATCTTTGGGAATGCAGCCCACAGGTAGAGTACCTTGTTCACCCTAAGTACTGATAGAAGATAAGATGCAATGAGGGAAATTCTGTTATCAAAATAGGTCTCATGACCAGTTATACAAAGGGCATTTTAATAGCTATGTTTTATATTAATTATCACTTCTTTTCCCTTTTCCTTTATGCAATTCATATAACTTACACTAGTAGAGGCTAACATTTTGGGTGTAGATCACTCTATAACAATTAAATAGTAATTATTCTCTGATGCTCAATTTCTTCTGTCTTGATATTATCTTCTCTTCCTTATTTGTCCCCTGGATAAAAGGCAAGAGTGGATGCAGAGAGTACAGAATATGTTCCTTTTAACCCTTCAGTTCCATTCAACCCCTCTCTCATTGACTGTGCCTTTATTAAGCTCTTTTCCAGTTACTTAATTTAAGCGTGCCATTTTATTTTGTCCTAGCAGGATCTGGACTGATACAAGTATACAAAATTGAAAATTAAAATCCTTGTTTTCTCACCTAACAATCCAACTGTCTTGAAGTACTTATCAAAAAAAGTTTATTGTTCAGATATGGATATATAGTTTATGCACAAAGCATACTCTACATGCTATTTTGCTACCCAGAATTTCATTCCACAGTGTGTTTTGGTCTACATAGAGTTTGAACTTGGTTTTCAGTGGCTTCAGAAAATTTAACTGGCTTATTTCACTTAGCCAGATTCACTTAGCATAATGCTCTCCAGATTCATCCATGCTAATCAACAAAACAAACAAGCAAGGAAAATATAACCAGAGACATTGAAATTAAGAACAAATGGACAATAACCAGAGGGGAGGTGGGAAGGAATAATGGGGGTAAAGGGGGAA